CAGAGCCTGGCTGATGCACTGAGGACAAACAGGATGCCCATGAGAACTGCCCAGCCCCAAACCCAAGATCCAGCATTCCCAAGAGGACAAATCCCCAGCAGAAAAACACCCCAGAGGACCCAAATTCCCTCTCCAGAGGTGAGAGATGTCCCTCCCAAACCCTCCCAGGCAGTCCTGGGGAGAGCAAAGCTCTTCTCAGCCAGGGCTGCCCTGAGTGGATTCCGGAGTCTGGGAAGTTTATTCCAAGGATGATTATCCACGGAGCTGCAGCATTCCTGCTGCTCAGGAGAGCTGGGATGGCAGATTTCCCCTTTTCTGCTTGGTCCCAAATCCCTGAGGCTGCTCTGGAGCTGCTCCTGGGTGCRGGGAGAGCTGGATATGAGCCCATGGGAGCTACAGAGACCTTTGCCCTCAGCATCCTTCAACCCAGGATTGCATCCACCCCACAATGACCCCACAGGCAGGACCAATGTAACCTCCTAAACAACCCCACAGCCAGGACCAGCAGAAACCCCTGATCAACCCCAAAATCAGGATCAATACAAACCCTATAGCCAGGATCAGCACAAACCCCACAACAACCCCACAGCCAGGATCAACACAAACCCCATAATGACCCCACAGCCAGGACCAGTAGAAACCCCTGATCAGCCCCAAAATCAAGATCAATACAAACCCCATAACGACCCTACAGCCAGGATCAGCACAAACCCCACAACAACCCCACAGCCAGGATCAACACAAACCCCATAATGACCCCACAGCCAGGACCAGCAGAAACCCTGATCAACCCCAAAATCAGCATCAATACAAATCCCATAACGACCCTACAGCCAGGATCAGCACAAACACCCCAACAGCCCCACAGCCAGAACCAAGACAAATCCCTGAATGAGCCCCACAACCAGGACCAGCACAAACCCCTAAACAACCCCACAGGCAGGACCAGGCCGGGGGGCCCCAACTGCAGCACAGCCCCAGCCAAGCTCCACAAAGAATTATRGCTGAAGACCTGGAAACCATCTCCRGGTGTTCCCAGGGCACAGGGGGGTTTGGGAATGGCCATTCCTGAAGAGGCCCCCACTCGCTCCATTCCCCAGGTGCTGCTGGAGCCCCCCTCCCAGCTGCAGCCCCGACGGTTTGGGGTCAGGGTAGCGCAGTAAATCTCAGGAACAGTCGGGGTTTGTTTGGATTTGCTCTTGGGATCATTTCTGCTCCTCCCCGGAATGAGGGGCCTGGCCGGGATGGAGGGAGGGAAGGCGGGGTTTGGCAGCCCAGGAATCACAAATCACCCAGGATGGCAGCAGCTCCCGCCTCCCGACCTGGGGCTGCCTCTCCATCCACCCCAGCCCCCAGCGCCATCCATCCGAGTCCAAATCCATCCCAGTCCCCATCCATCCCAGTCCCATTCCCCATCCATCCCAGTCCCCATCCATTCCAGTGACATTCCCCATCCATCTCAGCCCCCATCCCCAATCTGTCACAGGGCCCATTCCCCATCCACACCAGCCCCCAGCCCCATCCATCCCAACCCCAATCCATCCCAGCCCCCAGCCCC